GGCTGGTGGTGGGTCACTGTGTATCTCATTTTAAATAAATAAGAATAGGCAGATTAACTGAAAAATAATTTTAAACAATTAGTAAATCATAATTACCTTTTAGTTAAAAAAGAATTATATTCATTCGATTCCCTGAAAGTTTATAGTGTGTCCATTATTTCATTCATTCTCCACCTATGCGTTCTTTCACTTACTCCTTCCCTGATTCACACGACACATTAACTAACTACTATATACAAGGCCAAGACTTTAAAATCCTCCTTAAAGCATGAGAGGTGTGGGAAAAGAAATTATGTGCCACATTTAATCTCCATGGATTTTTTGCAGCTATGAATGAGGTAATAAATAATATTCTCATGCCAATAGCCAAGGAAACTAAGATGTAGACATAGTAACTAATTTGCTCAAAAGCAGAAATCAGAGAAGTCTGGGTTAGAGCTCATACCTGTCTGACTGCTATGCTTATACTCCGAGCTGCCACATGCCATTGCCCAAAAGAGGCACTTTTGAGACTGACTTTATCTGAATACTGTGTGGTCCCGGAGATGAGGTCAGACAGGGGTACTTGTCAAGAGCCTATGACTTCAGCTAGCATGGCTGTTCCTATGCCTCCACAGGCCACCTCTGCCCCCACATAGGCTCCAGTCCTGAGCCACCCGCTCTGCCCTGGGACACTTGCTGTGTAAGGTGTGGGCAGACACAAATATTTGGTCTTTCCCAAGTACGAGTCTTGACATCCAAATCAAACTAGCATTCATCTAGGGAGGATATGAACCTATAACATTATCCCCAGACCAAACCAGTTTTCCAGTTAGTCATGGATTGCAGCTGAATTCTTGAGGTTATTTAAGCCTTTATATCCTCAAGGCTAACCTTGGGCTGGGTCAAGAGAACTGAGTTGGCTTTCAAGAAAGAGCGCCCACCCAGCTGTCGAATCACCTCATCTTGTACTTTGTTCAGTTCCTGCGCAGATCAGGAGCACAGAGCAGCCCTGGGGCTCTGAGCTGCTTTCCCGGAGTGCTTTTACCCCTAACTGTTCCTACCTGCTCTTTCGCCAAGTGCGCTTCACTTCCTGGGAGGTATCTCTCCAATCTTTACAAGCTATGTTTCCCTGGTCACATAAACCTGGGGCAGCAGTCAAAAACAGGGTCACAGAAGCACTGCCACGCTGAAGCCCCTCCTGAGTTATTGAGAAGGTCCACAGAATGTTGTATGGAGGGCTCCTGGTGACAGCATGCTCTTTCCTCTCACACAGACCACAGACCACTGCTCTGAGATGACCTCTGCTGCTTCCATGAGGTTTCTGTGGGTCTGATCTGACCCTGAGATCAGTTGCAGGGGACCCCAGGTGGCACACCACTCTGTCACACCTTGCCATTCTCCACCTCCTTTAGCCACTTTCTACCTTCCTTAGCCATTTGGGGACAGGTTCAGACTGTTTATGTCACCTATATGTCTCTGTGTGACATCACTAGCCACTGGCAAAATGCATCTCCCACGATGCTCCCACAGTCACATCACTGCCAAGTGACAGAAGTCACAGGTAGATTCCTTCCACCCTGCCTTTATTGCACTCTGACACACAGATCACAGAGTGGGCCTCTATCTCTGTCTCTACCCCTATCCCTATGTCTGTCTCCACTCCATCCCTATCGCTATCTCCACCTCTATCACCTATCTCTATCTCCATCTCTAGCTCTGTCTCATCTCTCACTTCATCATAGCTTTCTCTTCCTTGGGCTCTTGCAAAAGTTCATAAAGGTGGGGTGAAACCAGAGAACAAACTGAAAAATACACAACCAGTTGCACTGAAACTTCGCTCCTGTACCCTAATACCCAATGTTTGGTTTTCAAACATGGTTGCTTGCCTTAATTCTCTCTTTCCTTGAGTTAAGTACCCTTCTAGGAGAGTCTACCCTCACAGATAAACCTCTAGCATCCTCTACATATTGAGACTGTCTTTGTAGCATATACCTAGCTCTTCTAATCCCACAGCACACCTCCCCACACACACGGTATAAATGGAGAGCCAAATTCATCAAGCACATTGGAATCAGTATACTTTGTACTTTTGGTTCTATTTATTCATAGTCCTATTGTTTTAGTTAAGCTTCTTTGTACTGAGTGGAAAACAGATGTTCACAGACAAAGGAGGAGAAATTAATCGACAAAATGTCCCAGTGATTATATTCTTTTACTGACTCATAAGCCACAGCTGCTTGCAGCACTCCAACCACGGCCCCGTGCTAGGTGCAGTGTGGGAAGACGAAATGAATCAGGCTTGGTCCCTACCTCCAGAGAAAGGTGCTCTTTAGCTAAAGTGGGCTTGCATAGGATTTGAAGGAATTTGAAACACTCCAGAACCATAATACAAAGTAAAAAGAACTGCCTGTTATTCAAAGGATCGATATGGAGAGTGTGAATTGTGTGCAGATAAAAGAGATCTCCTTTTTGGCTTGGCAGGTCCAGTCACATTCTAATTAGATCTTGAGAAATAGGTGGGATTTGGATGTATGAAGATAAGGGTACAATTTCAAGGAGAAATCAGCATGAGCAGAGGTATTGAGTGGGAAAGTGGTTACTGTATGTTGGGAATAAGCTAGTTACTGAATGCTGGGGATGACAGTTTGTGGCAACACAGAGGACAAGACAGGGAAACGTCTGAGATGGGGCCAGTACAAAGGGTCTTGAATTCCCTAATAAGCAATGTAGATAATTTAGACTACAAAAGGTTTCTGACCATGGATGTGACAAGATCAGAAGTGGGCGATAAAATTAATGGAGACCTTGAGAAGCAAAAATAGAAGAGAGAGCTCAGTCGGGGAGACAAGCTAAGAGATTCATATTTAGGTAGGTGGTGGCCAAGGTCCTACATGACAGATATTGCCAAGAGTGTGCAAGGATTTAAGAACTGATTGGAGAGGGGAACGGGTGGGACTCTTCATTGCATACCCATGTTTGTGATTCCAAAAGAAAATGATCTCACTTAGCCACAATGCCTTCTTGATACCACATACAGCCACCATTTTTGACCTGCAACACAGTGTGAAACGAATGGTGCCCCGCTGAGTTGTGCAGTGCATAATACATGCAACGTATGTGAGACCTTCCAGCAGCCTAGACACCCTCACCCACGACTTGAAACGCAACAGTTTCCTTAGTCAATATGTGTGCAGCCTTTATCACAGACCAGGGCTTTATCAGATTTTTCATGGAGTTGAAACACTAAGGAGAGACAGTCTGGAGGAGACAGCAAAGGAAATAGAGCTGGAAGGGTCTGGGTAACCCCTAGAAGTTTCTTCATTCAACCACGGACATAGCTGTGCAACATGTTACATTCTTTTCCTCAGTGGATGGGCTGATCAGATTAGCAGGATCTGGCTGGGGGCGAAGAACATAAAAGACTTGGGTTTGGAAATCAGTAGACCTGGATTTTCTACCCAGGGCTCCCATTTTGCAGGTGGATGATCTTGAACAAATGGCATTGTTTCCACCTCGGCCTCCTGAAGGGTTTGCGTAAGTATTATGTAAAAAACAAGCCAAGCTAGTGGGGTGAGGACACCCTTAGATGAAGTGGTTAGGGCAGGGCAGGCTTCTTTGAGGACGTGATGAATGAGTTGAAACCTGAAGGAGGAGTCAGCCAGGAGGGTGGGAGCCGGTGGGGGTGGGGGAGCATTCAGGGCAGAAAGGATGGCCGCTGCAGTCTTCCTGAGGAAGGAACAAGCTTGGTGTGTTTGGAAAAGCCAGTGTGACTCATCCCAAGATTCTCTCAATGCCTCCAAGGAGAGGTAATTTTGTTGATAAAGTTTAAAGGGTCATTTTAACAAGCCTAATGGAAACCAAAGGGCAGACAATGTTGTGCAGCAGCAATTTTCAAGTTTTTGTGTTTTTTTTTAAGCATAAAGAAGTAAGCATGGCACGGACATAGAAAATGAACTATGGTTACCAAAGGGGAAACGGCAGGGAGGGATAAATTAGGGGGTGGGGATTAACAGACACACATTACTGTATATAAAATAAATAAACAACAAGGACCTACTGTATAGCACAGAGAACTACATTAAATTTTATGTAATAACATACAATGGAAAAGAATCTGAAAAGAAAATATATATCTATGTATATGTATAACTGAATCACTTTGTTGTACACCTGAAACTAACATTGTAAATCAACTACACTGCAATAAAAAATAAAGTGATACAAATAACATATATTTTTAAAAAGTGAGTATGGTACAAAGCCAAGAGAAAATCCGTATGACCCTAAAATGCTGTACAAAACAGGAGGTGAGCAAAGTTCAAGCGGAGATACGGGTTTTTGCTTCTGGAGGCTGAAGGCAAAAAACAGACCTTTATATGATCTCGTGAAATAAGCTCACAGGGCTCTAGTTTTATGATTTTACTCTCTCAGCTGTGGGAGCTGACTTTTTCTGTGATTGATGGTTGGGTTCAAGAGAAATTCTAGGAAAGATAAAAGGTCTTTTTGGAGGAAAGCGTGATCGTGATGGCAACCCACTGGAAAGCTGCCTCACCTGCCTTCCCATGTGTTGGTGCCACAAACATTTCATCCTGCAGAAAACAATGTGGAAAATAGACACGGCAGGGAATTCACAGGCAGAGGTCCTGGGTCTGAATCCAGCTCTAGCTCCTCTACTTATGAGCTGTGTGCCCTCGGACAAGTCACTCAGCCTTTGGAGGACTTGATACCTTATGAAAAGGAGGCTAGTAATCCTTGCCCTGACTTCCTCCTACGATTGTTACGAGGCTTAATTGGAAGAATGAGGATGAAAGTATTCCTCAGACCATAGCACCCTGTGTACAAAGCCGGAGGTCACAGCATCCACAGGGTTAGGAGTCCCTGGGACTTCGTAAAGCTGTTGCTTTATCTCGACATTATTGGCGGAGACCACGTCATTTTGTTAGCCAGAGTGAAAGACTTCACTGGAGAGAGAGAGAGAGAGACTGATTTTAGAACAACAGAATGATAGATTTTACTTGTCTCTTTTGTACAGAATAATTTATTATAGCGTACACTACATACAAGGCTCTGAATAAATAATCACTTTTTCCAGGCATCACATCTGTGTGTGTGTGTAATGCACACTTCTGCGAGCACATAAGGACGCAGATGGAACAGGCGTATTTCCAGTCTCTATTTCCATCATTACATATTTAGTGAGGCGAGCCGGGAGTCCCGGTTCTTCTCTGCAGGTAAGAGCTGCATGCCTTGGAGTGAACATACAGGGGACCCTCTCAAATGATTTGGACCAGATGGCTGTGTCCTTTTCTCCTCCAAGTCCTGGTCAGGAAAGATACTGGCCACAGGTAGTTCAGCCTTTGGGTTTGGAGCACTCTCATGGGAGAGTGCTTCTTGTCCTCAAAAATTTCAAACATCATTTCCTAAGAAAATACACATATCAGAAGTATCTCCCTGCTGTTAATTTGGCAGTCAGGACCCCTCACTGTGCACGTCTTTTCCAGGTTCCTGTTCCCATCAGAAGCCACCCTCCAAGGTACAGAGCGGTCAGGTCACACCATGGGACCTCCCCAGCCCCGCTTCCCACAGGCTCAGTCTCATGTTCCGTGCGGGCAGCAGTAGCCAAGGGTTCCCACCGCAGCCTGAGAATGACACACTGGGCGTATCGAGCCTGAAAGGAGTCCCGCAGGTAACTGAGTTTCATCCGATACTTGACCTCCTTTGCTAATTAGTCTTTGAATATCCACTGGAACCACCAACGTCACGGAGCTCACACCTCGTGAGGTCACCGGCTTCCTCCTCTGGCCGTGCTGACCTGAAGTGCTTCCCAGCCTGCTCTTCACCCACAGGTGGTGACACTCAGTCCAGGTCAGTGCTTTTGTCCTCAAGGTAATCTCTTCAAGTATTTGAATGCAATTCTCCCGTGCCGTGAACGCCCATTTTCCCAAGCTAAACACTTCCTGCTCTTTCCCTTACTGCATCTGAGATGTAGTTAGTCTCAAGAACCATCTTTAGAAGGAGTCCCTTTTGCAAAGACTCTAGGGCTGGTTGGCCAGTGAGGAACCAGAGTCCTCCATCCCTGTTCCTCACCAGCTGTGTCTGACTCTCTGAGGGTGGAATCACTTCGGGTCAAGACAAAAGCAACTCCGAGTTTCAGAAAAACAAACAGACAAAGCCCTGTGGTTCAGGGTTTTGTTTTGTTTTGAACACACTAGCCCCAGTCTGGCAGGCTTCCTGGCATTCATTTGAACAGAAGGCCCTGGTATTTGCAAAGGCTCGCCTCCTTGTACCTGGCAAATAAGATATTCACTCTTTGTTTGATGGCGACGTCACGCCATGCACCCTGCCCTGCTGGAGCTCAGTAATTGGGAGGTATTTGGAAGTAACAGAAGGTTCACTCAGAAGAGCTGTGTCTGTGCTCTGGGTGTGCTCTCTTCTCCGTGAATCCCAGCTTTCTCACCTGCAAGGTGGGGATGGTAAGCCCTTCCTTGTCTGAGTCCTGGAAGAATATCATAATTCAGATGGCTAGAGATGACAGCATTAGGTGAGGGGCTCCTCAAAGTATGACCGGAGCACCCTACTCTTGCTCATCAGTAGACTGTAGCTTGTCCCTGCCCACAATATTTGAAAAAGGAATAAAACTATCAGTTTTAGGAAGAGACATATAGAGCTGCCATCTCACCACTCAGGCTGACTTTGTAGAAGGAAACATTTCTTTCTGTACCAAGGAAGACAGAGTCTGCATTCTGTTTTAATGATTCTTCACACCCTATTTTAAAACCAGAAGCAACCAGGTAACTTTGTGGCTGAGAAACACCATGTCCCCAGAATTATCTGCAGTCACAGGGTGACCACCCATGCTCAGGAGTTCAGCCGGGGAAAGGGAAAGCTTCCAGATGCTCTTGGTAAGTAGCAAAGCCAGTCAGGGACTCACTCCCTGCCCAGAACATGGAAAGTTTTCTTTAGCTTTCGAATATTATTTGTGGATGGTTTTCTAGAATTCAGTGTTGCCTGCTGAGCTTCCAGAAACCTGGGTGCTGTCCATGTTGAATGAACCCAATATACCCAAATTGTAGTCGTGAGAAGATAAGGGAGATTTTTGTTTTCTGAAAACTAAAGCCTCAAACTTAAGAAATGTGTAGATTGCAGGAGGACATATGTTAATGGCAATGTAGAATGTTGATGCAAGAGATTAACTTTTCTCAAAAATAACAGAGCAGAGGGGTGAAAATTCTGGGAGTTGTGCATGTGAGACAAGGGGTCCTAGAACACAGACGTTCACAGGGTCAGGAGACAGAGTTTAGTGGATGGTATTCGTGCTCTTTGATATGTGCTACTTTCCTTTCTTTCCCAGGAATACAAACCAGACCAACTACACAATTGGTGGGGCCTGATGCAAAACAAAAGTGTGGGGACCCTTACTCAAAAATTAAGAATTTATAGAAGGCAACAGCACAGTATTAAACCAAGTATGGGGCCCTTTTGAGCAGGAGGCCCCGTATGACTGCCAGATCACATGCCCATGAAGCCAGCCCTAGTAAAGACAGTACTTCCCAGCTCCTTTGCCAAATCCCTGGTTAATGGGGTGTGAGTGATGGAAGCGATACGGGCTACTTCGGGCTGAGGCAGTGAAGAACCCCCCATCTTCCTCCCCCTCTCACGGCACATGTGGAGTCCTTGTGTTGAGTTGGTGGAGCCATCAGGCTGGAGCTGTCACCACTTCAAGGAGAGCTACTCTAAAGAGTCACCTGGACCAAGAAAGAAGCTCTTGAATGTTAAGGCACTGAGATCCTGGAGTTGCCTGTTATTGCAGCATCCACTTAGCCTATCCTGACCAATACGCAGAAGTCCAGAAATGGAAGGAAACATCTCAGATCTGAAAAGCACCACAAAGAGAAGGAAACCAGGCAGTGAAGATCGGTATGACGGTTCTCGTGTGTTTGTTTTTCCATCAATGAAATAACAATTCAAAAAATGATCTTTAACATGTTACAATTCTATGCTATATACCCTCAACTCATTTAACAAATACGTTATCTAAGAAGAAAGATTACCTACACTCCTCCTTCAGCCTCCCAATCTCTTGGCTCATTGCCATCCCTGGGACATTCTCGATTCACAGAACACCTCTAGTACTTTCAGAAGCCAAGAGAAAACACTCTCCTAGGGCAGTGTTCTGCTCCATAGAAAGTATTTTACCAAAAAGATTTTAATTTGTCACCATGATTGGGGAAGTTTTTAATTCCCAAAACTCCAGCTGAATGTTCTAAGAGTCTCATTGCTTAAAAAATCACTGAAAATGGTCCCTTTAGTCATCGTTTCTATGCTATATAACCTTGGATATCACATTGCCTTCACAGCTGTTCCTCGTTGCTCTCAAACACCGGGTTGCTGTAAGACACACCCCTGCCACATCTGGGCATGTCAGAGTAGGAGGTCTGGTTTATCGGGGGCCAACTGGGGTCATCTGCCAGGGCTCTCTGCCATATCCGATACTGGCTTTTTGATTGATAGCCAAAACATCTTTTGATTATCATCCACAGGGCTCTATTTTCAATAATGGCCTCCTGAAAAAGAAAAGAGTTACTCTTTACAGTCAGAAACTAAGTCTTTCCAGAGTACAGCCTTCCGTAGACCCTCATGAGGCACCACTGCACTGGCTGCTTCAAGCCAACTTGACAAAGAACTTGAGCCTCAGACAGATCCAAGGTGGTTCCAAGCAATAGATCATGGCCTCTCAAACTTTTTCACTTAAGAAACTCTTTGGGGAGAAGAGAGAGGTACATAGTTTCAAGAATCCAGAAACATAGCTTGAAGTAATCTGCCTCCAGGATGAAATTTCTTCTGAATCTCATATGTAAATTAAACTTAAAAGCATCCAAATTCTGCAGTCCACTCCTTACCACCTCCACATTTGGTGGGGGAAAGGGTATAGCTCAGTGGTAGTGTGCATGCCTAACATGCATGAAGTCCTGGGTTCGATCCCCAGTACCTCCATTAAAAACTAATGAATAAATAAATAAATAAACCTAATTACCCCCCCAAAAGAAAAGAAACAAACTAGAAAAAGAAAAAAAATTATTAATGTAAGTGACATTTAAAATTACTTACTACCAAGTGGTACTATCCCTATAGAAAGATGTGCCACTTATATGATGTGGCTTGGGTGTACCCGGTTCATCACTGCACAGTCATGAACATAGGTAGATAAAATTGGAATGTGGGCCTCAGTCTTGGAATTGGGCAGATCTGGGTTTGAGTCCCAGCTCTGACACCTACTATGGGCAAATTAATTACCCCATCTGAGCCTTAGTGATTAGAAATAATAATTCCGTCCTCTTACGTTCGTCCTAAGGGTTAAACACCTTCCCTCACAATGCAGGGCATGGCTTGGCATAGCTGCCTCCCTTTACCATTCTTCTGAACTATTCATTTAACAAATGGCTGTGCATTGCATTGTGGCCTTATTCACATAAGCCTTCAATCTTCACTTACAAATATTTCACTGCAATGTGTTTTTTTAAGATTACAAAAGTTATGTCTCTTTGGAAACATTTTGGACTGCCATTTATATCATGAGTTAGACTGAGCCTCGAATACAGCCCAAGTTATAACTTGTAAAACAGAGTGCATCAGAGGTTATCATGTTAATTTCATTTTTTTTAAAATCATATGTTGTCAGAGAGGTTGACCATCTTAGAAGTGATCATGAAAGAAATGAAGAGGAAAAGATGGGGAACCAAGCGTCCCACAGGATTGGAACTGGTTCTGGTGTCTATCAGTGGTGTCTTTGCCAAACTGAGTTAATTCTGTAGGATTCTACAGGCAACTTTGCTAGAGATAATAGTTTCCTAAAATCCACCCCTCTTTGACATCTGAATCTGCTGCCCATGGAAATGACAGAGAACAACTAGCCTGAATATTCCTCTAAAAACTGATCATCTGCTGACAGGCTGTTAAACGTCCACACAGCCATCTCATCTGCATCTTGCCAACCTCAGGGATCACCTCGCCAGACCTGTTACTCCACTTTCCCACAGCAAGATTGTTTGTCCTTAATTAACAAAAGAACAATAGTTCTCCTTAGAGCTGGGATAAGGAGGATCATAGGTATCCAATGAAAGATTTTATAATCTAACTCACCTCCAGGAAATCTTAGCAGGATTTAGACAAAACAGATGAACATACACACACAGAGAAAGATTTGAGGGCTCTATACCATGTCCTGAGCTTTTCTACAGTTCTAGAAGTAGGATGATCTGTATTGCTTTGTTGCCCTACAAGGAAACCACTGAGCGATGATCTGTCCTGTCACTCTACATTGTACATTAAATGCAGAACTAGAAACAAAAAGGAATGCCTTGATGAGATACCATTTCTTAAAATAAACAAACGAAAACTTCATTATACGAGCTCTTCTGATTGGCTGTTCAAGTAATTCATATGTATATGAATAAACACATAAGTAATAAAAAGAGAGGGGTTAAAGCTATCCACGTTAGCTCCCCTGCCTGTTAGCAGGAGGTTAGATTATGAGACTCAGCAAAGTAAGGATAAGGTCTCACTCAAACCTGTTTCATGAGTATCAAACTACCCTCTCCGTCTGCTGGGGGTGGGCAGGCTCACTTCTTACATTTAACAATTGAATAAGCCTTTACCCAGCTCCTATGAGAATAAAGCAGGGTTTCAGGTGCTATGGCTACTGAGACGACTTCTTGCCACCATAGTTTAATGGCAAGCGAAGAAAGAAATTTATACCCAAATAACGATAATGCTTGTCCTCTTTCTCCCTGTAGATTGTGATTGTGAGCTCTACCCCTCCGCCATTCTCCCTTTCACATCATGCCGTAGGACATAGCACTTGTTCAACAAGTGCTTGTGGAAAAAATGAATGAGAAAATGATTGAGAGATACAAAGTAAGGAATGGTAAGTACCACAAGAGATAATGTAATAATGATAGCTGATATTTACTAAGCACTGTGCTTTTTACTGTTCACATTTCACGGTCACAGTAACCCTATGAGATAAGGTACCATTATTATCATCATTTTACAGATGAGGAAACAGAGATGCAGAGAAGTGCAGTAACTTTAACCAAAGTCAGATAGCAGGAAAGGGTGGAGCCAGGACTCACACCCAGGTAGACTACTCCCCAGTGTATACTCTTAACTGCAAATATTCTGGCAGTAGAATGGCTTCCTGCTGGGGGAGTATGGCACACTTTGCTGCTTGATTACCCTACAGCCCATTCCTCTCAGCTTTTCTCTGCCCACCTAAAAAGAAAACAAAAAAATCATAAACAGTCTGAGCCTATCTGTCTAACTTTTTGGTATAGATCCACTTCCCCAGAATACTTTTCTTCTAAAGATGAAGATGAGATACAGTCCTCAGCAATGAGACATAGGAGGAAACCTGTTGGTGGGCTGCGAGACATTTTTTTGCTCCCTGATAAAAAGTTTATACTTGAGGAGAAAAAGCTTGCTGGTGCCTCATCTCCCACATTTTTTCCTGCACTGAAAACAGAATGCCCAGAATGGGAAAACAGAATGGGAGCTAGCTGGGTACCATAAGCAACAACCACAAACACAAAAGGTCAGCCTCTAAGGATGGTGACACAGAAGAATGGTGGAAGAACGTGGATCCCCAAGGATGTCACAGAGTCACTAAACTAGACCTGAAGCCATTCACCTCCAATCTTCTTGTAAAGTGAGTCAATAAATATCTATATTGTTTAAGCCACTGTTAACTGAACTTTGTTACTTGCCTAACTGATTCAGGCATCAGGAAAAATTCATGAACAGGATAATGCTGTGCCATAGAGAATGGAACGGCATTTCAGTATGCAGAAATGGAGAAAGATGTTCTAGACAGGAAATGATGTGACTGTGGACAACAACAAGATATATACATAAGGTTATCCCATAAAGGATGAGGACCATCTTCCTGCAACTCCATAAAGGACTCCCATGGTGATGCTCTATTATTAATTTGGTTGCTTTGGAGAGCATATGGTTTAGCATAGAACTTCTCAGTGTGGTCCCGGAGTCAGCTGCATCAGAATCACCAGGTAACATATTAGAAACAAAAGCTTGTGTACAACTACAGACCTACTGAATCAGAAATGCTGGGGCAGGGCTGGACAATCTGTGTTTTAACAAGCCCTCCAGGGGTTCTGATACCCACTGTGGTTTGAGAAGCCCTTAGGAATGAGAAGTGAGATGCTCCTTATCCTAATTCTGTCCTGTTCTGCCACCAGCTCCTGTGCAACCTTTACCCTGCTTAGTAAGGAAGGTTCCTTGAGCTTCTGCCTATAAAATACCGCAGGGAAGTCAGCCTCCAGGAGCTCTCAGCTCCCCATGAGTCGCCCCTCACTGGAACAAGCCTAAGCTTGTAGCTGAGAGCAGGAACAGGGACAGGTGCAGTCTTATAGCTCATCTCTCCCGCGAAATGGATGCCTTTTCTGCGACACCCCGCCCCCAAGAGTGGGCTTAAAGAAATGGAGATTGTATCTAACAGCACTGAAGGAGGAGAGAGTGAACCACGTAGCAAGGGAAAGGAGAAATACAAGTTCGTTTTACTGAGGAAATGGAGCATAAAGAATAAACGTGGGAAAAGCACACTATGAATCTCATTTCCCATCTGTAAAGTGAAAATGATACAAGTTGTTAAGTGAAAGAAGTCACACACAAAAGGCCATCTATTGTATGATCCCCTTTATATGGAATGTCCAGAATAGGCAAATCCATAGGGACAGAAAATAGATTAGTGGTTGCTATGGGGTGAAGGAGGAAGAAAGGGAAATAAGGAGCAACTGCTAATGGGTACAGGGTTTCTTTCGGGGAGATGAGAATGTTCTGGAATTAGTGGTGGTGGTTGCACACTCAGCAAACATACTAAAAATGACTGAATTGGATACTTTCAGAAGGTGAATTTTATAGTAAGCAAATCACATCTCAATTTCAAAAAAATAAATTGAGTTGAGTCTTTATTTGTGAATTACAGAAAAAAATAGGACCTTGTTCCATTCTCCCCAGCTCCACTTCACAGATAAGAAAACTAATGCCTTGCTTGGAATTCATCAGAGAGAAACACCATTGCTCACATTGCCAAGGAAGGGAGCCCCTTGCACTGTTGATCCTCCTCAGCTAAACCTCTTCCTTTTCTAGACTCCCAAAGAATGGCTCCACCACCCCAACCAGTGATCAGCAAACTGAGGACACTTACCTCCACAATAAGGGACACGATGAAATTGGAGCTGAGCATAACGACGATGTAGAGCCTCCACAGGGCAGGCGTGCAGAGCAGCTGGTGGGAAACGGAGAAGCACAGTCAGTCTGAAGACACAGATGATGCTGCAAAAATGTTCATGCATTCACGGTGTGCATTTTCATAGGTTACAAATTACTGGTGTAACAGACGCATCATGTATGTGCAGGTATGTGTTACCTTGAGATACAGATACATACTTTCATACATGTAAGTTTTCTATGCATGACTGCACAGAAAATGTGGAAGGGTTGCATTCAATGGTTGCGATGATCTGGGGACTCTGTAGCTTTCTTTTATCTCCCTTTCTTTCTTTTTCCTCTGTAACTGCAAATTTTTCTAAAATAAATTTGGTCACTTTGCAGTAAAAAAAGTAAAAGTGGTTTTTTGTTTGCTTGCCTTGTTTTCTTATGAGGGAATACAGGACTGTGGCTCTATCCCCAGGAAGCTCTGAGGGTACACGTGTCAAACCTCCACACTGGGCAGCATTGCCCTCTTCCCTCTGGTGCCACATCTCCTTTCAGCTGAACCCTGCTTTTGAGCCCTGGGTCAGGGCTTCACCCCCACGGCTGTGCGTAGAGCTGCCCAGGCTGTGCGTACAGCTGCCCAGGCTGTGCCATCATAAGGGCACTTGCCAGTGGAGCAATCAGGGCTGAATTCAGCTGTCACGACCTGTCTCTTTCCCCACTTTCTCTGTATCTTCCCTGATCCTTCCCCAGGCATGTGATATATATGATATATACGTATGTTGAATGGATGAATGAGTGAAACGAAGCCGGGCGCACTTTTTTTGTACCTGGCACTGCCTCATGTATTGCCTTATACATCAGTGGGAGTGAAAACTGTTACAACTCTATGCTGGGAGGATCAACCAAAGGGCTAAAACTCCAATGGCTATGCTCAGACTCTACCACCACGTTCACCTTAAGGCCACACTTCCCCTGGGCCCCTCATAGCTAATAACCGAGGAAAGCAGGGCTTCTAATCACACACATTCTTGTGGGACACTAGACACCTCTGATGGGCAACTTTAGCCTTGACTTCCTTGGACTCGCGTGGCAGTCCAAAACTGCTCATGCAGTCCTCCTTCCTGCCCTCTGTCCTTCACGAGGGTCAGACCCACATCCTAGCGTGGTGTCCTCCCCACCTCCTCTGGCCTCCTAACCTTTTCACCCCCATAGATAATTCCTCCAATACCTGTCTTACACTTCACTTCAGCATCTCCATCTCAAAAGACTTGGACAAATGTAATAGTTTCCTACTATTTGGGTAAAAACTGTGGCCGAAAATACATATAAGGAATATATTCATACATAAGTATAATGTATCTCTAAAAGTGTGTAAAATAAATTGGGGTTATCAGTTGTCTCTAGAGAGGGGAACTTGGAGTTGGGGAACAAGGATGGGAGGGAGGTTCTCACTACATAACTTCTCTAACTTTAGAATTTTAAATCATGTGAACGTTTTCTCTGTTTGAAAAAATTCATGCATTTTTAAGTGAGCAATAACTAGGCTGCCAAGTAGCATGATCCCATTTAAAATAACTAGACTTCATAAATCAGTCAAAGGAACATTTATAATACATGAATTTTCAAAGATCAAAGGTTATAGTCCATAATGTTATCATTTTCCTTGCCTACATATTTACATGTTCTAAATGCACTCATAATTTTATGTAATAATAAGAAAAATAACTATTTTTAAGGTAAGCAATAAGTCTTTGCAGAATCTTTTGAAGTCATGCTGACAATGACTCCACACATCAGTTCCCTCCACACCAAATACGTTCCTTATTTTGTTATACCAGAGGACCCAGCTCTCCTGTAGGAGTCTTCTCTATTAAAGAGTGTAACTAAATCCAACATGTCTTAACCTTAACTTTGGCAGGGCTAAGAAGTTTTAATTCATTTAGAAGACTAGTGGGCAAAGATTCTTTTTATCTCCATGAGTACTTAATCTAATTCATGAATACAACTACACTGTTAATCACAGCAATATAATTACAAAAATGAAAAACTGAATGTAGACATCAGTTTGGATGTCAAACTTCACCATGGGTTTGTGAAGGTGTTGCTGGTTTGGAATGCACTATGTAATCCAAATGCTTGTCTACATTTAGGAAGCTGATGTGCAATGATGAGTCAGTCACTGTCTTTATGTGCCACTCACTATGCCAGGCACTGGTAATACAAGAAGGAATAAGACAGGATCTTGGCCTTCATGTGAAACTTATCTTTGAGATGGAGAAGCAGACAGGCAACTTCACAAAGAACTAAGAGCTCAGTTTTTCTGTCATCCCTTCTGTACTTCATTTATTGGTCTAAAGGGTAGTTAGCAATGATTAAATCAAATTCAAAAGAACAGATTAGAGGAATTAAAATATGTATATTTTCCCTTGCTTGAATATGTAAAATTACTGTCTCTTACAGAGTTTCAAAGTTGTCTTAAAATTAGAAAATTTAAGGGAGTTTATGAGTTTCAAAATACGAATCTTTTAAAGAAAGTTCCATAGACATACAGAAAAGCATGTTTTTAAGGAGTTAAAAAAAATGTAAATACAGATTTGAGAACTAACCCAAAAGTGTTATAGGCAAAACTGTTTTAAACAGCTTCAAAACAAAACCATTTAGAGGAAAATTCTCTCACATTTGGAAGAGAAGATGTATAAATAGAATTTCCAATCTTACAGGGATCTTTGAAAAGAAAAATGTTCAATGTGTTTGAAATACTTAGTCAAGATTGGACAGAATTTTATTTCCTGATCAGCTTAAATAAAAAAGTATGAATAAACTCAGCATTCTTTTTAACCCTATCGTCTCAAAAGAGTAATTGGTGTCAAGAATTCATGTCAACTGTAATTGTGACTTGCTTTTTGAAGTCAGGATGTTATATAACTACAAAATCTCATCATATCCCAGAAATAAAACTTACATCCAAACGCCTATATAAGTCTGGAAAATCAGCAAATAGAATGAATAGACACACACCCAGCTGTACGGCCAGTACAAGGACAAATATATCTGAGGAAATAAGAACACAAACTATCATTTAGATAAATCTGAGTACAGAGTGTTACACTTATTGATAGACGTATTTTAGATTAACACTGATTAAATTTACTTGATTTCTACTCCTAACACAGCATAAAAGATGAAGAGTACTCATTTCTATGCAATGGTCTCACCTCTGCAATGTCTATGCCTGTCCTTGAGGTAAGTGGAAATTTTGACATGCATGTTATATGTTTCAATTAATAAAAATGGGAACTATATATAGGGTAACATTGGCAAAATACATTTTCAATAAATGCCTTGAAGACAGCCAGATATCTGCATCTCTTTCATGCAAATCATCTGCCTCAAATCCTTCTCTGGAAAAAAGAAGGGCTGAAATTAAACAAATGTTTAAATTGCAATTATGTGAAGGTCACATTCGACTGCTTCGTCATCCCATGAAGAAGAGTAAAAAAACTTTCTCTGAACAGATTTTTATGACGATATTAATTCTTCAAATTTTTCTTCTAAATTTTCCCAATTAGAGGAATGGCGATGCTATATAAATAAAAGTCTCAAAGGCTAATCAGGTCACCCACTTCTCCTAACACACACCTCCACCCCCAGCCCAGAGTGTAACGAGGTGACAGGTACTTTGGCCAAGAGCCTCAATAATCTTCTATAGTCAGGTTCCTCCAGGCTGGACTCACTCCCAGAACTGCCAACCACACAATGCCACCCTGACCATCTTATACACAGCAGGAGACACTTCCAACTGAGTACTGTGACCCTTCTCCCTACTTCCTCCAAGATGAATTCTGACAAGTACTGACAAAGTGGAGAAATGTGTCTTCCTCATCTGGAGTGATCCCATGAGAAGACACCTAAATTTCAAGTGAAGGAAAAAGGTGGATTAAGAAGCCCTAGTATTAATGCAGCTTTGAAGGAGGTAGAAAGGGACCAGAAATGAGACTGCATATGTTTTACAGAGCCCTGGAGTGGAAGTCAGGAGACCCTAGATGCACCAAGTCCGAAAGTGCTCCTTAAGTGACCCAGGCTTGTCCTCCTCTCTGATGACCTCTCACCTCTGATCTGGTACAGTCCTACTCACAGTTTCTGTAGGTGGGCTGCCTGAATGGTTTTCCTTTAGAGAAGACAAGAGCCACAATGATGCAATTGATTGTTCCCAAGAACCATATAGTAGTATTCTCAAAACTTGGGAAGTCACCGTTACTTCCATTCTTTTCTGGAGCAGTTGGAGAAACGGTGAACTTTGAGATGGTTTCATTTCGCATCGTGCAGGCACTAAAAAGGAAACCAAAGAAACTGATGAAGAAGGGAGATGGCAAGCCCTTATGAAGCATTTGTATCCACACAACTGCATGTCCTCAATGCTTTTATAATTGCCTACACTTTGAGAAAGAATATACTGAAAAGTAAGAAGAAAGAAACCAGCATGTATAGAGCTATATTTTGGGTAGATAGACAGATGATGATGATGATAGAAGATAGAAGATAGATAGATAGATAGATAGATAGATAGATAGATAGATAGACAGACAGACAGATAGATAGATAACAAATTCAGCAAGTTATATATTCAATAAATTGGGCACCGATCATGTGTTAAGGCTATTTGGGAGAAAAAGACATAAGTAAGTCATGATTATTCCTTCTATTTGCTTAAGATCTCTGAACATTTACAAGCAGAATGACTGTATAATTTTATCATCAAACAGGCATAGATGTGAATGTGAAAGGGAAGAATTAATCATTTCATTGGGATATCAGACTTAGACTAGGGCTGCCTAGCCGAACTATAATGCATGGTCACCCTAGATATAAAAGATGGACATGGTTTATTATCATACAAGATGAGCAAAGACATGTGTCAATGAATGATACCACCAAACTGTGCTACAGAGAAGAGAAGATGACTGGAAAATTGCCAAGGGCCTTAAGGAAGCCAAAGCTTTTGGCAGAATGAAGATCCTTTTGCCTCTCATCATAAGGGCCGGACGATGTTTGACAGAAATTAGAACGTGAGAAGCTGGAAACGAGGCTGTGATCATACCTGTGCATCTCCATGGAATACCAAGGCTGCCTCTGTACCAGAATGAAGCCCACAATGTGCATGGCCAGGCTGAGAAGAATGTTGAAAATCACAGAGAGTAGCAGAGGTGGGGAGATCAGCCGTCCTGCAGGTCTGAAAGGCACCAGCTTGGGATAGGCACCATTCAAATTCACTAGAAAATAAATTCAAACTTTTATGTACGAGAACAGGAAAATGTTGTATTCTTCACCAGAAGAATGGTGTAACTTCTTGGACCCACATATCTTAGAAAATTGGTAAATTGAAATACATTTGCAGGGAACACAGCAATGAATGAATTCAAACTCAAGCCATATGAGGAACTCTTAAGAGAGCAGACATAGAACAACCAGAAGATGCCTTTCCCCCTATTAAATAGAGAAAGACTATTAAATTACAGATGAAATGAACACTCTCATACATTGCCTGTGGAAACATAAATTGACACAAAAATACCTTCCACAGGGCAATTAAGCAATAAATAGAGAGACTAAAAAATGTTCATAACTTATGACGTATTTATTCCACTTTCAGAAATTTTTCCTAAGCTAAAAAATCAGATTTAGAAAGATGTTCATCACAGCATCATCTACAGTAAATTATGGTACACCTCTACAATGAAACAATGTGGAGTCACTAAGAAGTAATGCTTTCAAATACAAAATTACAAAGTAAGGATTGACATCAGCAAAATGGTAGATTAGGCAGCTCCAAAATCCCATACTTCCACAGAAACACTGAAGAACATGCAGAAACAATCAGAATCAACTTTGTCAGAACTCTGAAAAACAGACACAGATTTACAGCAACCAAGCAAAATGCAGAGTCAAGAAAAAGACAACTTAAAAATGGGAGGATAGGGGTGGAGAGTGTAGCTCAAGTGGTAGAGTACATGCTTGGCTTGCATGAGGTCCAGGGTTCAATCCTCAAGACCTCCATTAGATACATAATTAAATAAATGAACTTAATTACCCCCCCAAAAAAATGAAATTAAAAACTTTTAAAAAATGAGAGGAAAGCTGTGTGGCATTTTTACTTGCCCCAGCCTCTCTCTCTCCTTAGCTCAGTGGCAATCTTGAAGATGGGTGTCTGCATTCCCAGTGGGGGACCCTGGTGCCTGGTTACAAAAGGGAAAAACTAGACTATATCCACAAATGATTGTGTATGTCTGTCCTATCCTGTCTAGGGGCTACCTGAAGGACTGGTGCAAGGTGCTCACCTCTGCGTCACCTAATACAAAACTCACTCCGGGTGGAAGAGCAGCATACATTCCTTGAAAACACTGTAAGGCTAACAACAAACTACCCACAGTCGCCTAGAGCTAAAGACTACAGTTGAGACATAAAATAACCATCTGAAGACTAGATAGAAAAGTTAAGGAACATTTGTTTAAAAAATCATTGTATTCAAAAGTACCTGTGTATGTTGGGGAACATAGAAAGCCGTGTGCATGCCCAGGGCAAGATGTAGGCTCAGAAAAGACCAGAAAAGACCAGGAAAGACCCTCAGTTTTCAGCCCTGGATGATCGCTAGACTCGGCACAAGCGTGGCTAAGTGCTGAAGAGCCCGGCACAGAGCCAATCTGCAAAGACTGGGACAGGTATTTCTGTATTCCTGTTTTTAAATTCTTGGAATTCAATGGAATCTCTGTCAAAACACTAGCTGAACAGAAGCTAAAGCAACAGAGATTTTAGTGACCACACATGACAACTGATACGACCTTTGCAAAAATAGTTTAGAAAAGTTACTAAATAAATGGATTACTACAGTCTTCAAAAAGCAGCCAAATATCAAGCCCTGGGGAAGGGAGAGAATCTGATTTCCAGAGTTACAGCATTATAATATTGAATGGAATAAAATAAATTGACAGAAATAAATTCTGAGGAAACACAGACATTGGACTTACTGGGTGAAGACTCTTAAAAAAAACTGTCTAAAATATGCTCAAAGAACTAAAGGAAATCATGGACAAAGAACTAAAGGAAACTAGGAAAATAATGTGTGAACAAAAGGAGGATAACAACAAAGAGAGAGGAATTTTAAAAAGAAGCCAAAAGACATTCTTTTTAAAGAATCTTTTTTTAAGACACATGCACCCCAGTGTTCACAGCAGCACTATTTACAATAATAGCCAAGATATGGAAACAACCTAAATGTCCATCAACAGATGAATGGATAAAGAAGATACATATATATATATATTTATCTATATCTATCTATCTATCTATCTATCTATCTCTATCTATCTATCTATCTATCTATACTGGAATATTACTCAGCCATAAAAAAGAATGAAATAATGCCATTTGCAGTAACATGGATGGACACAGAGATTATCACTAAATGAAGTAAATCAGACAGAGAAAGACAAGTATCATAAGATGTCACTTATATGAGGAATCTAAAAGAAAAAATTATACAGATTTTATTTACAAGCCCAAAATAGACTCACCAACATGGAAAACAAGGTCTGGTTACAAGGGGGGAAAGGCAGAGGGAAGGGACAGATTAGGAGTCTGGGATTAACTGATATACATTACTATATATAAAATAGATAAATATTAAGGAACTACTGTATAACCCAGGGAACTATACTCAATTTCTTGTAATGAGCCATAATGGAAAAGAAACTGAAAACATATATATATGTATGTATTTATGTATATGTATAACTAATTACTTTGCTGTGCACTTGAAACTAACATTGTAAACTGACTACACTTCAATAAAAATAAGAATAAAAAAAGATACACAATAAGGTTTCACTGTACATCACAGGGAACTATATTCAATATCTTGTAATAACCTATAATGAAAAATAATGTGAAAAGGAATATATATGTATATATGTATAACTGAATCACTATTCTGTACACCAGAAATTAACACAACATTTTAAACTGACTATACTTCAATTTAAAAAGTCTGAAAAAAAAAGAATCCTTTTTTATAACTTCTATCTCTTTATTGGCATACTCATTTTGCCCAGTAAAGGTAACTACTGGGGTGAATATAAAAGCAAATATTATTACGTTTTTGTTTTTTTAACTCCACTTTTTATTTCTACATGATTTAAAAGACAGATGCATAAAAAATAATTATATTTATGTTATTGGGCACACAAGAGATAAAGACGTAACCTGTGACAACATAAAAAAGGGAGACAGGGCTATAAAGTGGTAGAGTTTTTGCCTCCTACTGAAGTTAAGGTACCAATTCGAACTAGATTGTTATAAATTAAGCATGTTATATGTAATTCCCATGATTATATTATGTAATAATTTTAAAAAGTTACAGCTAACATCACACTGAAGGGTAAGAGACTGAAAGCTTTCCTCCTAAGATAAGGAACAAAACAAGAACGCCCGCTTTCACCACTGCTATTCAACACTGCCTTGAAGGTTTTGCCTAGCACAATTAGAGAAGGTAAAGAAACAAAAGTCATCCATTCAAATCAGAAGAAAGAAAACGATCTCTATTCACAAGTCCTATATATTGGAAATTTCAAGGAATTCACAAGACAGCTGCTGGAAGTAATAAATGACTTCAGTTATGTTGCAGGATACAAGGTCAACACATAAAAATCAGTCGTGTTTCTATACACTAGCAATGAATATTTTTAAAAGGAAATTAAAAAAATTCTATTTTCAATGGCATCTAAAAGAATAAAATACCTAGGAGTAAATTCAACCAAAAAGGAGAAAAATCTGAAAATTACAGAACTTTGTTGAAAGAAATTAAAATAAGACATAAGTAAATGGAAATACATCCAAAGCTCATGGATTGGAAGGCAGTATTTTAAGATATTAATACTACCCAAAGTGATCCTCAGATTCAATGCAACGTTTATCAAAATTCAAATGACATTTTTTGCAGAATGGAAGTTGATTCTCAAATTCACATAGAATTGTCAAAACAATCATAAAAAGGAACGATGTTGGAGGACTTACATTTTTTGATTTCAAACTCACTCCAAAATAGTAAGCAAAAAAAAAAAAAAAAAACAGCGTGATACTGACATAAGAACAGAATTGAGCGTCCAGCAATAAACATAAATCTACAGGAAAGGAATTATTTTTTCCCATTTATGTATTTCAAGTGCCTGTTAGAGTAAATAGTACAAACTAGACACTCATTAAATGTGTAACAATTTTGTGGAATATCAAATCCGGTAGAGTAAAGCATTGCTTGGGCATGTTAAGCGTCTGCCCTGTTAAATATCCAAGATTGGATGCTGAGTAGCTGCATTTCCAGAACTCAGGATAGACATCAAGGCTAGAGATATAAATTTGGGATTCATCAGCATATAAATGACATTAAAGCCACAGAATTGGTTGAAATCACTTAGGGAGATGGTGCAGATGCAAAGGACAAGAGAGTCAAAGAACAAGCTCTGGAACATTCTAAAAGTCAGAGCACAGGCAAAGGAGCAGAGGCCAACAACAGAGATGGGGAAGGTGTATTCATTAAAGGGCTAGATAATTCGGGAGTGTGTGGCATCACAAAAGCCAAGAGAAGAAGCCTTTTGAGGAAGGAGAGTGCTGTTGAGAGATTCCAGCACAACGAGGAAGGAGACGTGATCATTACTGTTGACAGCAGGGAAGTCCCTGGTGGCCTTGACCAGAACAGCGTCGGGGAGGTGGCAGCAGAGACAGGAGCTGTTCTCTTTGAATATGTTCTTCGAAAGCAGAACTTTTGAACATGTTTTTTCAAATGATAAGTTGGTGTGAGAGCGGTTAAGATTATGATGAGAAGGTACAAGATGAGATAGTGTGAAAGCAAGACCACGAGGTATGTGGAAAAGGCAGCTTAAGACTGGTACTTCTGAATGTGTCAGTACTGTGTACCCTCCCAGCCAGTGGTGGTTGGAGCTGGCTCATATGGGTTCACAAAGGCCAGTCGCTGCTAAGTTTGTGAGCCAGTTATTAAACAAAGCCGTTATTAGAAGAAAATTATATAAAGTTGCAATTAAATATCTTAAAAGTAAAGGTAATAAATACTCAAAATTGACAGCATCCTAACTATTTTACTACATTTTAGCATTATCTATGTTCTTACAGTTAATAATGGCAATTCAACTTAAGTGTACGTTACGTATGTAACATAGCCATCATATCAAGAACAATTTTTTTAACTGAGGAATTATTTTTCCAGCTTTCAAGAACCAAGCTTGCAAATAAGCATATAAGTTGCTCATATGACTGATGACTGATTAAAGTTTCAACATGAGTCTTTGTTATTTTGCTCATTCAGGTAAAGAAAGACGTCAACCAACATTCACGTTAGAACTGATTCAGTCATCAATCGCAACCATATGTTGACAATGGATAGAGGGGTTTGGCAAAACTCAGTGAAAACATTCTGTAAGAATCAGTTGGCTGAATGGAATCTGCAAGAAAGCAATTATTTTATTATTATTTGAAAATTGCCCTCTACATATTTTTCTTTTCAGTAAAGCTTATAATACACTCATGTGCATACATATACAAACATTTGGGGCAGAGGGAAGCCAATTGCTAAATATTTTCTGGCATACCACTGCCTTCCACCAAATACAGCGCAGGGTCAGTATCCAAATTCATGCCCTTGAATGTTAGAATCTGGCTGAGTGACATGAAATGGCAATAGAGTTAGAGATGGCAAGTGGGCAAAGCGGAGATACACAACTATTTGGGAAGTTTGAGAATAAAGGGGAGAGAAGCTAGTGATGGGTTTGAGGTCGAGGAAAAGCTTTTAAAGAAAGAAAATACAAAAATATATTTGTATGCTGATGATGAAGAAAGAGATTACTACAGGAACACAATCCTTGAGAAAGCAGGATCGGGTAGGGTTAAAAGTACAAGTGGACCTGCGGGCATTTATATGTAACAGAAAAGCAAAGAATACGATAAAGATGACGGTTAGTGGATGGGTTGGGGAAAAAAAATCCCATAGCAGGGAAACTGGGGAAACAATTCATATATTAGTTAAGAGGTGGGAAGTGGGAGTGGCGCATTGGCAAGATTACCTCTAATCTCTATTCTAAATCCTGAGAGGCTAGGGTTGGACATGGAACCATAAAAGCCATTTAGCTTCTATAAATTGGGCACATTTGGACCATAACTATACCTAAAAGCACACTGAAGTCAGCATTCCTGATTTTCAAGGTGCTTTTTTTTCATTTTAAATGTTTCGTGACCATTTATGGAAGCTCTGTATTTTATGGAGAACAGCAGAACAGCTAGCCAGCTTCTCCTTTGCTAACTCTTTCAACACATGAAAATGAAGATTCCATTTCCTCTTTCTCTGTATGCTCTACCACTCTGGGGAATAAGTCACTACTGTGGCAGGCTCTGCCCCTCCTGATGGACAACCCTAGCCAGGCAGAGGGAGGCATGAGGAAGGAAGCACCTCTGAGAAGAAGGCTTAAAAAAATGTCTTACTTGTTACACCAATTAGAGTTGTAATGGCCAGATCCTGGAACAGAAACTGGTAATTTGAAAGGCTGTTTGTCTCCTGAAAATAAAAAGGAAAATGGTTCAAAAAAAATGTTACGACCTTCTGGATGAACTTTGACATCAACTGCACTCATTTTCTCACAGCAACATAGGATTTCCAAGCAAATTACCAAGGAGATGGTGTGGTCAGGGGTCTGGTCATGTTGGCAGGGGTATCAAAAACAAGCCTGCAAACCCCTCTCTAACCAGGAGGGCCACTGCCATGTGCTTTTGGGGCTGGTCCTTTGAGCACAGATATCATCCCTTATTGAGGGGAATATCTCATTCTACCAGATTCATCTCTGCTCTCTTTTCTACCTGTTTGCAGAAAAGTTAGGGTTTGGTCTGGCATAAACAAAAGAGTGTGTTTCCAAGTGTAAGTGACAAATGTGTGGTGATCTTACCTAAATCTCACCAATGGAAAATGAGAATAACTGAGCTCACTATTTGCATTATTCGGTGGTAGTAGAAAGTCCTAATAAAGCACCTTGATATTCTTGAAAGAAAAACGTTCAGGTCTTACTGATTTCAAACAACGTGCTTCCTTGCCCTCCTCCACCACCCCTTAGTGTAAAAGAGCTAATGATGACCCATGTTTAACTCTACTTTTGAGCATGAGTTATTGGGATTCCAAAATAGGGCCATATTTCTATAAAAAGCCTCTTCTATTCCAGCTTATTCATCAGTGAGCAGTAGAAGACTTATATAATCTGGAAATAACAGAAGTAAAACCTTCAACCTTCAAGAGGGCAAGACATGGAGATGAACCTGGGTATCTTCAGCACAAATGGAATCTCCTTTCTCAGTGTAAGTTAATGGAAGAGGCCCATAGGTTAAGTTCACAGACACTACATGTATCTTTCCTCCTTTTCTATTTTGTTAAATAGAAAAAGCCATCAAAAGATCTGTGTACTCTGTGGGGTATGATATGGCAATTTTCAAATCCTTATATTCAGGGAATCAGTGACATGCTGATTTATACTAGTTCATAAGAGTCAATTGCTAAATTTTCAGGGGTTTTGTGAATTGGCTGTGAAACACAGCCAATATAAAAAATTAAATTATACAAATTTACTATTATATAAATTGTGATAAAAAATTAAGTTAGTAAATACTCAAAACTTCACATTTCCTCATCATTTGCCTGCATTTTGTTTTGCCGTTATCTATGGTCTTGAGGTTACCTACAACTTTTGTATCTATATGATGCAACCACTATTGAAAGGCATACTACTGGACGTGTCTTTCCAACTCCATGTTCAGGGACACCAGGGAGATACCTGGAAACCAGCCATGGTGGACATATTTATACCATTGAAATTGGCAAGTATTAAGAATCAGGGTTTGTCTTTCCAGGGAGAGCCAGTTACGTAACATTTAGCAGCACCCTCGTCAGAGAAGCATCTCCTTAATGAATGATGTGCTAAGGCAGAGCCACACTGGGGTTGGGAAGCTGGAGACCTAGCCCAGGCAAGCAAAAGCAACAACGAGAGAGAAAGGTTACGTTCAGTTCTGATCCTGGGCTACAACTAGATAAAAAGCTTCTGTCAGAGACTCAGAAGAGTTGACACCAACAAGTTTTCCTGAGTACATCAGTCTATTTCTAATTTACTTTCAAAAAACTTCAAAGGCCATTTTAGAGGGGCTGTTGGTGCTCGAAATATCTCATTGGCACACTTTGTTTAAGATGCATCGCGAACTGAGAGTGACCGCTACTTGTTTTAGGCTTCACTAACCAAGAGGCTAGGTCCCAAGTCATACCCAGTAGAGCAGCAGAACACCGATATACTGAATCATGCTGTACAGAGCCATGTACTTAAACATGCAAAATGACGTAACGAGAGCTGCACGTCCTTCCCTGTGTGAGAAAAGAAATGAGAAAGGAATGAAATGAAAGTGCTGGGAGGAAATGAGGTCAGTTATTCTGTGCTGTTCAGCTGAGCTCAGGAGAAAAAAGTTGAAAGCCTGATTATTCGATCGTTTGTCTGACAGACCAGACAACCTTGAGCCAGTGGGAGGCAGCGGTCAGTATGCTAAATCACCAGATTTTCAAGAAAGACCAACTCCAGGCCAAGGTCCACAGGACTTTGATGAGCAATGGAGCCCAGAGTCAGAGTCACTCTTGTCCTCTCTGTGGGCGCTATTTCAGCTCCAGGTCCGGAGACCCGGGAACTGGTCCCAGAGCTCATATCTACTCACTAATGTGATTTAGAAGGTCATTTTCCATCTCTCAGTCACTGTTTCTTCATCTGTGAACTGAAGAATTTAAATAAGATTGCAGGTCTGGGGGCTATTTTCATGCTCCAGGTGCTCCGGGAGTTTGGCAAACATCTCATTCAAATCTCATTTGGCAGTCCTACCTTCTTCTAAAACCGAACTAAAACAATCTGCATACTCAAATCAGGCATACATCAAATTTAAAGAGGCTGGAATCAATGAGCATCTTCATTTGTGTTTCTGTTGACTGAGTAAATAGTATATATTTAAAGCATAAAACAGATTACTCATGAAATGCTACGTTCACCTCTTCCATTTGGGAAAAGAATAGAGTTTCAGTTTACTTCTGGTCAGAATGATTTCCTGGGATCCCAGATCCCAGTCCTCAAAGCAGGCTTCTTCTTCTTATCAGGGCTCTGCTGCTGCCATTTACTCTGCCTAGAAGGTAGTTTCTCCTCCTCCCTCACTCTCTTCGCAAGGCTTCTCCACACTCCGCGTCTGAAGCAGCCAGTTCCACCATCCAAGCCATCTTCCCCTTTTTTATGTTACCCTTGCTTTTCTATACATGTGTTTATCGCCTGTCTTCTTCACCAGCAGAAAGCTTTGGGACATCAAAGGATATTTAGTCGATTTGCTTCTGGGTCCCCAGTGCCTCCCCCAGTTCCTGGCACTAAGTCCCTACTTTATAAATATTTATTGAATACAGGAATACATTTTTAAACAGGGAGGAGCTCGCCAAATCATTATTTTAATGTGGTGGGAAGAGTATGGTATTTGTAGATAATACACATTGGAACAAAATTAATTCTAATACAATCTTCAGTCCTATATGTCTGTGAGCTTGGATACATCAATTAAGTTCTCTGAGCCTCAATATTTTTGTTTGTAAAAGAAATAGTGACCATTCCTATGTTTCCAGGCTGTTTGGTGTATAATAGGCATTAAAGCATTTTATAAACTGTAAACATATACTAGTTATAATAACCAAAATCAGCCACAATGTCCACCATCTCCATCATTGAAATAAAGGTATACTCCAGGGCGGGCTGAGGGGTACAAAGCACCAAGGGAAATCTTAGTAGAAGCAACAAAGATGAATAAATATTCTGAAAGCGGGGGATGGGAAGGATATTTCAAGGAAGCACAAAGAGGCAAGAAAAAAGGAAGGCAGCTGGGGAAGAACGTGTTTCTGTCCATCCCCCCGTTAATACAGCATCTAAAGAGACATATTTAAAATAATAATAATAAGAATACAATTGACATTTTCAAAGCAGAAACACATTCCGGATTCCAATCTTCTAAAAATAACCTATTCAGTGATTTTCATTAGAAATGCCATTGCTTTCCCAGGGTTATTTTTGCCTCCTGCTAAATGTACTCAGGAGTAGAATGTTTGACGGAGTTCTCCCACAAAGCCCCTTCCCTGCCCAGGGACATGTGGTTGCCTGGTCTTTGCCTGGCAGAACAATGGGATCTGGAGCTAAAAGTCAAGAGAGGTTGAAACAATGCTGGGGAAAAGTGCCTACTTACTTGATAAGGTGCGGTACACACTCAATGTTTGGAGTTTTGGAAGTGAAAGGCGAGGCCACGGATGCCTCTTGCTCTGATAAAGAGATGCCCACATGAGCCATTTTCAAAGCCTGAAAGCAAAGAATCAACTTACTGTGGATGCACACTCACGTACACACTCTCCTGAGGGCATGCAAGGAGAGGCCAGTTAAGCTGGCCACGAGGTGGCTTGTGGGCCAAGCACTAGCCAGGAGATGATTAAATTTGGTTCTGCCTGCCACATAAGAAAGAGCTGGCACTGGGTCACCTACTCAAAGAAGTGGGGAATCCAAGAACCAAATTCTATTTCATTCAGTACTGACGACTTAATCATTATGTAGCTTTGGTCAAAACCATCTCAAACCCTCCGCATCAGTTTCTCCATCAGGAGTAATGGAGATGGTGTGTATCCCAGGAGACATTATCTCTTAAAGGGCTCTGAGCAAGTACAACTAAGAGTGCGATGATGGCCCCACACCCCGGCAGCTACTTACCCCACAGTCATTGGCTCCGTCACCACACATACCTACAAAGTAACTAAAAGGGAACCGTGTCAATTGTAGAGGAGATCAAAGCAATCTTGACTGCTAATTTCTCTAATTAAAAAGATAAAATGAGCTTCATTACTTAGGGCTCAAACTTATTATCTATTTTAAGGGAGTTTTCCTAACAGTCTGGTTTGACTAAAAGTAAAGTATGACTCGGCAGTTCCTACAATGGATTAAGGAATCCAACATACTGTTCCTGACTCCAGGGGTTTCAAGGCCACCTCACTGTCTAGAAGACAGCTCTGTCAGCTGTAAAACAGGATGTGGATGATTATATGACAACATTGCAAGGTGGGGAGGCACAGGAATTGAAACCAGAAGATCTAGACCTTTAATCTGATCACGTTACCATCTTGACTATGATTTTACACATTTTGCTGTGAGTATTCGGTGAGGTGCTGTATTCTAAAATGATACACTAAAAATTAGTTGTTGGTGCTGTTAACAGTAACTGGAGAAGAAATCCGCTGTGCCAGTCATCACTTAACTCAAAAATGCAGTGCCAAGCCCAGGAGTTGAGAAAAGAAAATATATCCCCATTTCAGGATTGCTTTTTGAGGCTGTTCTTTTGAATTGTTGACGAAGATTATCGACAGTCTGCTTTTTAAGATAGGAGGACCCTGACAGCATTTGCAGAATTTGCTGTACTTCTCTTCCACACTCCTATGTAAGGCAACGAGTTTACTGTGTAGGTTTTTAATCCTAGTTGATAAAAGAGGACTTTTTAAATATAGAAGCTTGCCTAGTGACTGAATCAAGTGAGTTGGAGGGTAGACTGGGAGCAAATAGGAGTTGGAGTCATGTCGGTGTGGTCCAGCACCAGAAGTAAGGGATGCCCCCAGACTCTGTAGGGTTCCATTAACAGGAAATAAAGGATGCCAAATGATGGGAGTGCATCAATGGAGACCCTTGGTGTTAGGAGCATTCTTCTGATTTAGGATGGAGAGGATGCTTCGGCACAAGAACGCTTTAGTATTTTTAGGGCTATGTGAGCCACTCGTCATATGGACCTCCCTGCATCATAACTGTGATGATACTTTGTAAAAATGAAGTCTAAATTTGCATTGCGCCTTCAGGAGCTGAGTTCAAATTACCTTTCCAGAATTATTTCTTGTGCCCCTTATGTTCTAGCTCAGTAGTGTTCTTAGCTCTGGATGAAAGGAACTTTTAAAAAATACTGATGTCCAAGCCCCACATGAGCAATTGAAACAGAATCTCTGGATGGTGGTGTCCTGGTATTGCAATTTCTTTCAAAGCTCCCAAGGTGACTGTCACACGCAGCCACATTGAGAACCAGTGTCCTAGCCAAACTGAGTGACTTCTTGGACCTCTTACACTCCCCTTAACTGTCATGCCTCCATGCACCTCACACCACCTGAACTGGTAAAAAACCTACTCCAGCTTCTGAAATTCTTCCACCAGACTAGATTTCTGCCCAGGAGACATTCTGGCAAAGATGGTCCCATTGATCAGTATCTGTAAAGAAAGCAAGAGAGAAATTTTTTTATCATGTCAGCTGGTCATACATAAAATAACTGATAGCAGTCACAACACTGACTGGGTAATGATATGCATGAATGAGGAAAAATGTTTCCAAGAAGTCCTCCTTAGGATTTTAAGACTGACATTGAGACTTTGGTCATCAGATAAGTGACTGGGGAGACCAAATCAGTAAATAATAATAATCAGTTAGTTAATAAACAGAGTTGATGAAAATGACAACCTACAGGCATTTAGCTCAGCTGCCGTAGAGATTGTGGTCCTGAAAAATCTTGAGTTTAATGGCATCTTACACCAACAGAGTACGAGAAATTGCAAAATAACAAGAAGCCAGGATCCCAGGAGGGGGAAAGGAGCAACTGCTTCTCAGAAAATTGTTCAGCTCTAGCAGAAAACAAGCCTAATGATGAGACAGTGACTGTCTGTGGTCTTTGACTTAACTGTACCATCTGGACTTGACCAATTGTGAAATTCAGCTGCTATCCCAAATCTAACTTGGGCTATGAGACACTAATGGGCTGTCGTATAAAAACCTATACCAGCTCCATCCACCTGAGCCCCATCCTACAGACTCTAAATTCTTCTGTATTACAGCTGTGTGCTCCTTGCTTCTCTTGGCAGTGAATTCAGCTTAGCGTGAACTCAGCTTTAAAGTCTTCTTTCTTTTTTCTTAATCACTACCTAAGATAATGAGCAATTAAATACAAATAAATAACCTTTAGTTTACATTGGACACAGACTTTCTCTAGGTTGTTCACATGTTCCATATCTATAACTTACGGGCTCCCACTGTGGGTTTGTTCTTCATTAGAAAAGTTTTAAGTTTAAGACCTCTTCTATATAAAGGTCCTCTCCCAAAAATTTCATGGAATTCTTCTATTCTTGGCCTGCCGTCCTGCATAATTGCTGAATTTTCACGATACTGTGAAACCTCTAACCATGGGGATACAGTGACAGCTGCCCCAAAGTAATCTTATCACTTGAGAAGTCACTAATACTTAAATCCTATAGACAGTGGATACTTGGTCAATCAAGCTTACTCAGTTTAAATCTAGCAGCAAATGAGACAGCAGTGACCTCAGCAAACATATCTGCCTCTCTTACGATACATTCAGCAGGTATATCTAACCTATTTAGAGATTTGAAATTACTTAGGATCATGCTCTGACAGTGACATTGTTAGCATCTTTACTGGGAGATTGGTACCCTCTTAGAACTTACCTTTGGCAGTAGGCTGCTGAAATGTTGACTTATAACCTGAAAGGATTTTCCACTTAGGGCAAAATGGTAACTTCCTCCTCTGCTATTATCAGAGATGTCTTCCCTGATGTTAATGTAATTGTCCTGCTGAGCAAGACACAGTTATTTCAGACTTGGTATAGTGGTTAGGACCACAGGCACACCTGAGAGAAGGCAACTATGGCAGTCTAGGTTCTCTCTTTAAAAGTCACACTCCAGCCCTGATTCCTCAGAGAAGCATTTTCTCTTTGCTGGATCAACCTTTGCACATCGACAGCCTCTAGTGACCAGGAGAATAACACTCATGTCCTGTCCTCATCCTGATTTGATCTCGGTGAGTCCCTGAGAAAAGCACATTTCACACATTTCAAGTGTAAAATACAAACGCTTTGCAGCTTAACAAATATCTCTCTGAAGTGAAAACTTGTTTTTATTTTTTCTTACAGAATTAATATTGTCCCACAAGGACACACAACAGAGATAGGATACTAACAAGACTAGAGACAAATGAATAAACTTTTTTTTTCCACCCTGAAGACAGAGTCAGATTTTCCAGTGCACACAGCAATGTCTCTCCTAGGGACTGAGTCCTCTTTGAACTCAATGGGATGGCTGGCAAATAAGAAAACAATGGAAAATTAGACTTGCAGCCATGCTCACTATACTCTTTCTAAAGACTTTTTTTAAGTTTAAAAGAATGAATTATTTCTAGCAGCCAGGAAAGCACCATAACTTAAAGGTCAGTAGAAACGGTATGGGAAACCGATATAACTGAGTTCTATGAACAGCATACATGTTAGACATTTGGAGAAGTATGTTGACCCTAGGTCACCTGTACACCTCTGCCAGTCAAAGCTGCTCCGTAGCCAACACTGGGTGACAAGTTAGACACCACGGCAGAAGGTCTCTTTTCAGGTGTACCTGATTCCTGTATGCCATGTGCTTCTTCTCTTCTACTAATTTCCAAGATACAGATGCTGATGAGGACCCAGTAGTTTCATCTGCTTCAATGAGAATGACTTTCTGGTTTTCAGAAACCATCCCAGACTTTCTGGCCACTGTTATTGCAGTCTGAAGATTGTCACCTAGAAAAAAAAGAGAGTATCCCAAGATGAGGTTGACGAGCTAGAACCAATTCATGTAGAGCCTGGAAAACCAGGGTCAGGAGTTTAGGCCTTATTTTGGGTGTGAGGAGAAAGAATCTCTAAGGTCTTTCTCAGCCCTAATCTTCCATGATTTCATGATCCTTTTTCTTATTTTTGCTGCTTTTCATCTGGTTACCTCATGACCTACAGTATATTTTTGCCAGAGAGTGGGAAGTAAAATTAAAAAGGCAAAATTCAAATCTGTTTCTATCATTTGTTAACAGCTTGGTAAATGTTTAGCAAAACCTCACTGGTTTCATCTCATATCTCGTGGTTCCACTTCTAACTACAAGGGAGTAAACCCACTAGAATCTATTTCTCCCACTGATCACAGTGGAAAACTCCAAAGAAAAAATACAAACAAACAAACAATAAATAAACAAAACTCCAAAACCTACCCAAGGACTTTGAAAAGTAAATATAAATGGTAGTATATGGAAGGGAATCAAATTTGGAGAAATAACCTAAAGATCAAGAGATTCTCAGCTCTTTTTCCTCTTTCCTCTCACATAATTTGGCCTAAATGTAAGCCCCAGTTCCAGAGCTCTGCAGATAGTTAAAACTCCAAGAAAAATCTAGTCTTTCTGGCCAGAGGAACCAGGAAAAGGGCACTGGAGGGTGGAAGAGTTATGAGGGAAATCCTGGAAAGAAGAGAGCTAGACAAGGAGGCTAATTCAGTGTATGAACTATGTAAGTTCTGATCTCAATCCAGAGCTGTGCATGGGCAGAACAAACCCAAAGAAGGATAGCAAAAGCTTCAAGAATTGAACTATGATATTAATCACTTCCCATGCCCCAGTTTTACTTGCTAACACACAAAAAAACCTTTCAACATTCTCTAGAGGATTTTAACAAAATCCGAAGTCTCCCAACATAATATTCAAAATGTTCAGAATACTCAACATACAAAAAACCTGGAAAATCTGGCCAGTTGTCAAGAAAAACAATCCATGGTTGCCTGTCTCAATATGACCCAGATGTTGGAATTATCAGACAATGGTTTTAAAGCAGCCATTATTTACCTCCTCGATGTGGAAAAGTTTAATACTCTTGAAATAAATGACAACATAGAACTTCTTCACTGAAAAGAATATACTCTATAAAAAAGAACCAAATGGCTAATTTTTTGGTATATATATATTTTTATTGAAGTATAGTCAGTTTACAATGTTATCAATTTCTGGTGCACATGATAAATTTCTAGTGTATAGCATAACCAAATATCTACTTTAGAACTGAATAATATAATAGGCTGAAATTTTAAAAATTCATTGGATGAACTCAATAGCACAATGGAGATGACAGGAGAGTCAGTGAACCTGAAGATAGATCAATAGAAATTATACAATCTGAGGAACAGAGAAACAATCTTAAAAACAGAAGAATCGAGACTGAAGAATAACAAAAGAATTCATATTCATGACATTAGAGCCCAAGAAGGAGAGGGGAAAGAGACTGAAACAGGACAAAAAAATTTTTGGAGAAATAATAGCACAAAATTTCCCAAATATGGTAAAAGATTTAAATTTACAGATTCAAGAAGCTCATTGAATCCCAATCAAGATAAACTCAATGAAAACCACACCTATACACATAATCAAGTTGCTAAAAACCAAAGATAAAGAAAAAGCAGAGAAAAACAATATATTACATATAAGGAAACAATGATTAAAATTATCACAGATTTCTCACCAAAAAAACATGGAGGCAAGATGACAGTGTAACATCTTTAAAGGCCTGAAAGAAAAAAACTATCACCTCAGACTCCTATAGCTAATGAAAACTACCCTCAGAGATAAAGGAGACATAAAGAAAAATTTTTAGAGAAGAGAAACTAAGGTAGTTTGTTGCCAGAAGATATACTCAAAAAGAAATGCTTGAAGTTCTTTGGGCTAAAAGGAAATGATATCAGAGTGAAACTTGCAATATAAGGAATGAAAACAGCAACAGAAATAATTAAGATCTGGATAAACATAAAAGTCGATTTTTTCTTCACTTACATTCTTTAACTCTTGACTGTTGAAATTAAAAACTCTAACATTGTCTGGTAGGGTCTCATTGTATGTCATACACAGGACAACTATAATGTAAAGGGGAGAAAGTCAGGGACATTTATGATTATACAGCTACGTGAAAGGGTTGGTAAAGATGTGATTCCTAGAGCAACCACTGAAAAAATAAATAATATAGTAACAGGCATGGCTTCTCCTAGATTTCTGCCAAAATCTACTTTGAAGATCCTTAAAAGAGCTAACTGGTGGGAAGAGGATGCTCCAGCCTGAGATCAGAAGAGGACAGGGAGCCTTGAGACGGAGAGGTTTCTTCCACAAGCCTCAGCAGGGTAACAACAGCCCGTCTGCTTTGCCACAAAGCCTGTGAGAGGCATCTTGTTTAGGACGTGCAGCCCAGGCCTGAGCCTTAATCATCTGGCAAAAAAAATACAACAACCTACTTAAGAAGTCCCGGAAGCTAGGGAAGGAGAGATCAGGCAGAACAACCAGAACACGTGACTGGGAAAGTAGGATCGCTGCTGGAGACTGATGAAAGCTGCATTAAAAATAATGAGAGTTTTTCAGATCCATTCCTACCCCAAAACACAATTTAAGAACATCACAATTCAAAAGGTCATTTGAAGGAGATACTCGTCATTTTTGATACTGGCGTTTGTGGTTTGGAAAAGTGGAGGGCAAGAAAAAAAATCTTAAAACACAAAGCAAAACTATAAAAATATGAGAGCTACATAAGACAGGCTACAAGGATGTACTGTACAACACCAGGAATATAGCCAATATTCTGTAATAACTGTAAATGGAGTGTAACCTTTAAAAATTGTATAAAAATTAAAAAAAAATTACAGGAGAAAAGATAAGAGACTGAGAGGATAGATGCAGAACAAGAGAAATTCCAGAAGGGAAAAAAGAAAGAGAGAAAAAATAGGCATTAGTTACATGAACAAGGGAACAAATTTTCCTGAGAGGAAGAAGACAGATTTAAAGTGCTCACCATGCTTGAGACTAAATTAATGGAAAAAGATAAACATACAGGCACATCCTGGTAACATCTCTAAACTCCAAAGTTAAAGAAAAAAGATTATATATAAAAATAACAAGTTACCTACAGTGAACTGGCATCGGACCTGTGTATGCAATACCCCAAACCAGAAGACGAAAGACTAATATCTACAGACCATTAATAAAAAAGGACTAGAACCTAAGCATTCTATACCCAGGCAAGCTATCACTCACCTGTCAGAGCAGAGAAAGATATTCCAGGATATATAAGAAATCAGAGAGCATATCATCCTTCTATCCCATCCAAGGACTGTTCTTCGAAAAAAATTACAACCAAGCAAGGAAAGAAACAAAGCAGAAATTTCAAAGTGAAGGAAGAGGTGAAGAGGGGGGTGGAGAGTGATGAGTTCTTATTTCTACGTAAATCTAAATGGTTAAGGATAGATTCTGAGAATGTGTAAAATAAGTGCTAAATCAAGATTTTCAAATGGGAGGACCATACGTAAGGGGAATTCTAATAAGTGGTAAACTAATTTCAGCAACACCTAGAAGTTGGATCAAGGGGCTAGAAAGGGAGACAGTAAAAGTGATCCAAAAGTTTCTTGGATTGTGGGGGGCTTATCAGGGGGGAAATGTACCAAAGGGGAGGTGAACATATTCTAGAGCTCCCAACACAGAACTGGGTTCAAAGGAAGCAGAGTGGGGAGAAAGTGCCTTGGTGGGGAAAGATTGTATCCTGGTGCTACAACGAACCAAGTCGAATGCATCTGAATTATGAGAGCAGAGGAGGGGAAGGGAACACATGCTCAAAAAACATGACTGCATTAGGAAATCATTTACTCTTCACTCAAGAGCTTTCATTAAGAAATTTCACAAGTTTGTATTCTATGTCTATGACTTTGTTTCTGTTTTGTATTTGGCGGGGGGTGGGAAGGGACAGAATGGGATTTCAAAATTATGTAGAATATGTAGACTAGATAAACAAAATTATACGGTATAGCACAGGGAAATATATACAAGATCTTGCGGTAGCTCACAGTGAAAACAAAATGTGACAATGAATATATGTATGTTCATGTATCACTGAAAAATTGTGCTCCACACTGGAATTTGACACATTGTAAAATGACTATCACTCAATGAAAAAACGTTAAATAAAACAAAATAAAATAAAATAAAAGTTCATGACAGAAAAAAAAAAAAGAAATTTAACTACTAACTTTACT